GTTAACGTAACCTTACCTTACCTTACGTTCGTACGTACCGTTACGTACGTACGTTACGTTTAGTTTACGTTACGTACGTACTACCTACCTTACGTTACGTTACGTAGTAGTACGTACTCTCTCTCTCTCTCTCTCTCTCTCTCTCTCTCTCTCTCTCTCTCTCTCTCATACACACAAACACACACACACACCGCTTATATTGATTAAAAATTTCAAACCCCAAAATCAAAACACATTGTTCATTTTTTGGATGGTCGGATCTAAGTGTTTAGGTATTTTTTTTCTCATTTCTTAGAATTACTCATGTGGTGATTCTAAGGTGATTCCTAAAATATTTGATCAAACCAATCCTCTTGAGTGGGTATTTCGCCTTAGGAAGCAAGTGGACGATTTGTTAATGTGAATATGTTATACAAGCTCTTCAGAAATATATCTGCAAAGCACCATGAGTATCTCTCCACTTTTGCGGCAGCCACGAGATCACATTAAAATGGGGATCCTCTGATTAATTAAAATGGGTTTTCTCTGAATTAGAAGAAAGTAACAAGAATGACGAATAACAAGCTAATACCAGCCCTTGAAGCCAAAGTCCCATCTACATGTAACTCAAAATACACATGAAGTACAAAGCAAAGAAGTTTCAAACAAAATATGCTTCAGGGAAATTTCTTCTGCATAACCAGAATAAGGGTAGCTGTTGCTACAGCTATCAAAGTTGAGCTTTGAGCAACCCAAATAAAAAGGATTTGATGTATCTTGTTCCTGGACGAGTGATAGAATAAACATAAAATGTCAGACATGCCTCACGACAAGATCCTTAGCTAAGACAAAATTTGAATGCCCATGGCTTAAGGCCAGAGAAGATGCAGTGACAAGAAACATGAGTGTGGCATACAAGTTATTCCTCAAAGCCCACACCTTGATTGAGTGAGTGGCCTCTGAACTGTACCACAACTTGGCAAAAGTGAAAGGCAAAGGGAAACAATTGATACTCAAGTGTGCATGTGTGCCTACACACACACACTGCAAAAAAAAGAAAAATATTTGTGAACAGGACTTTCATAGCTTATATAAATTAATGTACCTTTAAATCCAACTAAGTTCTACATAGAATTTCTACCTCGCTTCATTTGAACAAAGTTCATCTTCATCTTGTTCCAGTTCATCTTTCAAAGAGATCTCATCCATAGATTGTCGAACAAGCTTATCTGTCAAATACATCTCAGCCATATCGGCATCATCATTCAATAAATGTTCAAGTTCGTCCCTGACCTGAAAAATATTAATGAAATAGTACACTGAATTATAAGAAAAGGAGAACTTTGCAGCAAACAAAATCACCAAGTAAACTACACAAAAACCTCCACAAGCCTCACTAGTGGTTACAGAACCAAGAACAATAACTAGTAGAATAATGCACTGTATTATATATGTATGTAAGTGGAATCCAGCTGAAAGATTGGGATCATGCCATTTCACCAAAAGCAAGAACACGTGGTTGAGTAAGCAAGAAATGAACATCAAATAGACTTATCAATAGCACTGAATAAGGAAAGAATAGGTTTAATCGTCCAACCCAAAAGATACTATCATTCTCAACATTAATGGAAGAATCAAGGAAGCAGTAGCTCTAGAAAATGGCACAGCTAAGAACTTGCATAACATTAGATCCAAGGTTCGGAGCAAGTAGCAAGAATCATTTGTACGGCAGAAGTAATTTCTACCTCCTAAATACTTCGTTACCTTATTTTGTCTCCATCACACCAAAGAATTCAGACCCTGATTCTATACAAAAAATCTCAGCCCTCATTCATAGACAAAATGTATGGAGAAAGAGTCTACTATTATTCAGGTTAGGTTTCTTAAAAAGGATTCTGTACTGAACTAATATTTCATAAACCAAGTCTTTTTAGAATTAAAAATAGAGTTCATATTATTTGGTAAGTTCTGTCCATTATTGTTTGGCTAATCTTATAAAAGAGGAATCTGTACAACTCTTATCTCCATTTCATCCAAAGACTCCTCTCTTTAATCTCCATCCCTAAACTTTAATGCGATGCAATCCATAGTTACCGGGAACGTGAGCGACAAGAGCTCCGGGCTCGGGAGCGGGAGTGCAGAGTGAGGTAGGCTCTATGATCCATGGTTGGGGGAACGAGATCCATACATGGTCAGGTAAAGGGATTGAGACCCTGACTTTTAGGGAGCGCATTCCATATTTTCACAGGAGCAAATTCTTTACCAAACGGAATCGCTTTCCTCCATGATAGGATCGAGGTTCCTGAAATTCACTTATCAAACTATATTGTAACTTGGGAGCAAATTCCATTGAACAATATTTTTAACTTTTTTCAAATTCACAAACCTAATATCTATTTTAACAAAATTCGTGTCATTGGAATTCTCTTTAACATTTTGTTGTCATCAGAGTATGATCTTACACATAGCAATAATAGAAATCCAATATGGTGACGTAATACCTAAGTCCTCGATCTGATGTTAACAATAGTAATGGAGCTTGATAGAAACATTTATCACTATAAAAAACTAATCACATGGGTCCCTTACAAAAATGGCACACCTACCTACATTGTTCTGCCTACAATGCACATGTCCTCCTTTTTGGCACCAATCGCTTGGATTGAACGACTTCCACTCAAATATCAATTGATGATTAATATAAGAATGTTGTGATAGATTGTCTCCAAAAAAGAAATGCTACAATAGTTAAGTTCTCCTTTGCAAAGTAAGAAAGAGGATAGACAATTACACATAGCCATATATAATTCCCAATAGCTCTCCTCTATCAAAAATCGCTAAAGGTTCAAAGACATATACATCAGAGAAACCTCACATTTCCTCACATACATGTTATTCCGTCACCCATAAGGCAATCTCATGAGTGGCTCGATTTGGTTCACAAACACTCAAGCCATAGAAGTCCTTCAGGAGGTAGACAAGACCTAGTGAACTAGCTCCAAGGAAGTTGAGCATATTGACATTCTTCAATGGAACCATAACAGGACTAAGTTTTGTATCTCCTTCCATCTTCTTGCTTCTCTCCTTGCCCTCTCTTTTGTTGCCTTTATTTAAAACTAGACATAAATCACGATCACAAGGTGTGTAAAGTTGTGAATTGTAAAATATGTAGGAAATCATGGAGTTCAAAAAGTTTGTAGGTTATAAAAATTTGGAGGTCCACACCAGGATTGTATATAAACCAAAAAAATGTGTTGGTGAAACTCCCTCCCAAATTAGAGGATACTAGATTCTAAGTAGGTGGAATTGTGGTTCCACTTACTCATGGAACCATGATCTTTGGCAAAGGGATCTGGATCCCAATCTATGGGATCGAGTTCCCCGATTTCCCGAATCGAGATCCCCAATATCAAGGAATCGCCAGAAATCGAGATCCCGTATCTCGGAGTGCGGAATCGAGCTTCTGGCTCAAAAGTGACCCCCTCATTAGAAGATCTCAGTAACTATGATGCAATCTCTATTTCTCTCACTACAACTTCCCTACCCTTTAATATTAGCATCCCCCTCCCTCCCTCCCTCCCTCCCTCCCTCATGTAATCATGTGGGCCACGAACTAGTAGCTCCAATCTCTCTCATGCATCACATGTGTCATGAACCAATAGCTCCAAGAGGCAATTCCAAATTTTCGATACTAAGTCTCAAACAAAGACTTTTGCCAATCAGATAAAAACTTTGGAAAATTAGTTATGTACTATAGATATAGCTAAAAGGATGACTATTGTGATGACCCTAAATTTTTGGAACTGAAAAACAATAGCAATAATAATAATAATAATAATAATAATAAAATAATAATAATAATAATTATTATTATTATTAATAAAATAAAAATAAAAATGATATAAAATACCTATATAAAGGAATAGTTTTGATACACCATGAGACCATTCTTTTTCAAAACTTATCATTTCCAGATTTTTTTTAGAAGAATACTTAATTAAGATAATAGGGTATAAGGTGGCATTATAAGATAACAATATGAGGTGATGTGGCATTATAAGACAATAATATGAGGTGATGTGTCATGAGGTGGTATATAAAAGTGAGAAGTTAACAACAAAAAGGAGGACACATACTTTGACATGTGTCAAGTGGAAGTGTCCTCCCTCACTTTAAAATATCCTTCTCCCCTCGTGAGCTAATCATCAAAGCTCATCAAGTTTTTCCATCTCTCTCTACGTAAGTCTTCTTTCTCTCTCTTATAACAAATTATTATTTTCTCTCTGATAATATTCTCATAATGTTAGTATTATTATCTCATAACAATTATTTTGTCTCTCATAGTATTCTCATGAAGACAATATTATTCTCATAATGTTAGTATTATTATCTCATAACAATTATTTCTCTCTCTCATAATATTCTCAATGAAGACAATATTATTCTCATAATGTTAGTATTATTATCTCATAACAATTATTTTCTCTCTCTCTCTCTCTCATAATATTCTCATGAAGAAAATATTATTCTCATAATGCTAGTATTATTATCTCATAACAACTATTTTCTCTCTCACAATATTCTCATGAAGATATTATTATTCTCATAATGTTAGTATTATTATCTCATAATATTCTCATGAAGACAATATTATTCTCATAATGTTAGTATTACTATTGCATAACAATTATTTTCTCCCTCTCATAATATTCTCATGAAGATAATATTATTCTTGTAATGCTAGTATATTATCTCATAACAATTATATTCTCTCTCTCATAATATTCTCATGAAGACAATATTATTCTCGTAATGTTAGTATCATTATCTCATAACAATTATTTTCTCTCTCATAATGTTCTCATGAAGACGATATTATTCTCATAATGTTAGTATTATTATCTCATAACAATTATTTTCTCTCTCTCATAATATTCTCATGAAGATGATATTATTCTCATAATGGTAGTATTATTATCTTATAAAATTATTTTCTCTCTTTCATAATATTTTCATGAAGATAATAATATTATTATAATGTTAGTATCATTTATCTCATAACAATTATTTTCTCTCTCATAATATTCTCATGAAGATAATAATGTTTCTCTCTCTCTCTCTCTCATACTCTTTTCTTTCATCTTTTCTTTCTTGTAAAATGTCTATGCTCCCTCTCCCCATATTAACTCATTTGGTCTCTTTTCTCATATCTTTAGATGAACACCATTAATCTCGGTCTTACTCTAGCAACATATCCATCTCGTGACATATAAAAGTGATCTCATTTTCTTGTAAAATAGTTATATAAAAACTGGTATTTTTGTATTTAATTGTAATATTTCCATCAATCAGTATGAATTTTAGATACTGTAAGAGTTATGTGCAAGTGGCCTCATTTTCTTGTAACACACTTATTTAAAAATTTGTATTTCCGCATTTAATTAAATTGCAATATTTTTTTTCGTGAATTTTAGACGTTATAAGTTTTATGTGTTCCTGTAACATGATTATTTGAAAAATATTTTCGTATTTAATAAATTTGTGATATTTCCATCTATTGTTAAGGGTTTTAGACAGTTGAAAATTCACTATTTAACTCTGAATTTCCGTAAGAGTTCTTCTATTGTCAATAGACTTGCTTATTATGTTCAATTTCAAGAATGTCCCTCAGAACTGCTACCTTTTTGAAACTATAGCCTAAAATATTTGACTGGTTATTCATGAAAATATCAGTGAAAATGATTGATATAAATTGCTTCATGTGAATTCATGTTAATAATTTCAAGGATATTTTGAATAAATGATATTGGTGTTTCCTGATATTTAATGATAAAGAGTTTCAGAGATATTTTAAGTATACAAGTGGACCTATCTGATATGCCGGTAGGAATAAGTGGACTCATCCAGTATGCCGGTGAGGTATAAGTGGACCTATCCGGTACATCGATAGGGACTAAGTAGACTCATCTGGTAAGCGGGTGAGGTATAAGTGGACCTATCCAGTACGCCGGAAGGGATTAAGTGAACTCATCCGGTATGTCAGTGAGGTATGAGTGGACCTATTCGGTACGCCGGTAGGAATTAAATGGACTCATCCAGAACGCTGGTGGGGTATATAGGTGACCTGCTTAGGACACCACTAGGGTACTTTGTGAAATCCGTTGAAGTATGTTAAATTGGGCATTTATGTTAAATGATTTATATATGCACTTCCTCATACTGTTTCAATATGCATTCAAACATTTTGGATTATGTTAAAATCGTGCGTTTCTGAATTTGAAACTGTTCTCCAT